TAAAATATAGAACTGGAAACTCGAGAAACCGAAAAATCTAGAAATTTAAAAATTAAAATATGCAAAATTTGAAAAATTGAGAAATTGAAATATAAAACAATCGAAACATTGAAAAATCTAAAGTATAAAAAACAAAAAACTGAAAATTCAAAAATAAAAAATAGAAAAATCTAGAAGTCGAAAAATCAAAGAATCGAAGTATTGAAAAATATCAAAACTGAAAGAAATATCCAAAAAATGAGAAATCGAAAAACCAATAAAGCGAAGTTGAAAAATCGAAGAATTGAAGAACTGAAAAATCGAAACTTTGAGAAGTGGGAAAATCAAAAATAGATTAATTGAGAAATCAGAAAACTGAAAATTTAAGGCAAAAATTTGAAAAATTGAAAAATTTAAATACTGAAGAACTGAAAAGTAAAAAAATCGAGAAATCGAAAAATCTAAAATTTAAAACATTGAATAATTAAAATATCGCAAAATTGAAGAATCGAGAAATCCACTTCAATTTGAAAAATTGGAAAATCCAAAAATTGAAAAGCTCAAAAGAAAAAAATCTAAAAACCGAGAAATCCAAAAATCGAAAAATTCAAAAACTGAGACTTGGAGAAATCGAAAAATCGGAGGATCGAGAAATTGAGGAGTCGGAAGCCGAAAAGGAAAGTTAAAAATCAATCAAAACAACGAAATATCTGAATTCGATAAATTGAGAAATTAAAAAATTGAATAATCGAAAAATTTTAAAAAAGAAAAACAGGAAAATCGAAAATTAAAATTCAAAAAATCGAAAAATTGAAAAATTGAAATATAGAAGAATTGAAAACTCGAGATATCGAAAAACCTAGAATTTTAAAAAATGGAGTTTTAAAACATCGAAAAGTAGAAAAATTGAGAAATCGAAGCATTAAACAGTCGCAGAATTGAAAAATCCATCAATTCAAAAATTGAAAAGTCGAAAAATTGAAATATTCAAAAAATTGAGAAATTAAAAAATTGGAAAATTGAGAAATCGAAAATCTAAAAAAGCAAAATCGAAAAATCTTAAAAAATCGAAAAATTGAAGAATTGAAGATGTGAAAAATCGAAACTTTAGGAAGTCCAGAAATGAACGAATAAAAAAAAATATTTTACAAATCGGCAAACTGAAAATTTAGAAACGTGAAAATTTGAAAAATTGAAAAATCGAAATATTTAAAAACCGTAAAATTGAAGAGGACAAAAATTGAGAAATTGTATCATCGAAACATCGAAAAATTAGAAAATCGAAAAATAAAAAAAAATTGGACAATCGAAAATTGAAAAATTTCGAAAATTGAAAAAAAGAAATATGGAAGAACTGAAAACTCAAAAAATCGAAAAATAATAATAATTTAAAAATTGAAAAGTTAAAATTGAGAAATCGAAAAATTGAAAAATCAAAAACCTGAATAATCGAAAAATTGAAGAACTGAAGAACTGAAAAATTGAAACTTTAGGAAGTGGCGAAATGGGAATATAAAAAAATAGATTAATTGAGAAATCTGAAAACTAAAAATTCAGAAACGTGAAAATTTGAAAAATAAAAAAATATTGAAGAACTAAAAAATCGAAAAATCTAAAATTTAAAACATTGAAAAGTTAAAATATCCTAAACTGAAAAATGGAGAAATCCAAACATCAAAAATTCAAAAAAATTAAAATTCGAAAATCTAAAATTTAAAAATCGAAAAACTGAAAAATCAACGAATCGAGAAGGGGAAAATTAAAAAAATTGGAAAATTGGAAAATCGGATAAATCAAAAATCTAAACATCGAAAAATCGAGAAACCGAAAAGCAAAAATCGAAAAACCAACAAATCGAAAAATCGAAACATCGTAAAATTCAAAAATTGAGAGATCGAGAAATCGAAAAATCAAAAGACAAAAAAATCGAGGAGTCGAAAAATCGAGAAGTCGAAAAATCAAAAAATTAAGAAACCGAAATAGGCCAAAATCGAAAAATTGAAAACTTAAATATGGAAAAATTGATAAAGCGAGAGATTGAATAATCAAAACATCGAAACATCCGAATCTCAATAAATTGAAATCTCAAAAAATTTAAAAATTCAGAAATTTGAAGAATTAAAATATAGAACTGGAAACTCGAGAAACCGAAAAATCTAGAAATTTAAAAATTAAAATATGCAAAATTTGAAAAATTGAAATATAAAACAATCGAAACATTGAAAAATCTAAAGTATAAAAAACAAAAAACTGAAAATCCAAAAATAAAAAATAGAAAAATCTAGAAGTCGAAAAATCAAAGAATCGAAGTATTGAAAAATATCAAAACTGAAAGAAATATCCAAAAATTGAGAAATCGAAAAACCAATAAAGCGAAGTCGAAAAATCGAAGAATTGAAGAACTGAAAAATCGAAACTTTGAGAAGTGGGAAAATCAAAAATAGATTAATTGAGAAATCAGAAAACTGAAAATTTAAGGCAAAAATTTGAAAAATTGAAAAATTTAAATACTGAAGAACTGAAAAGTAAAAAAATCGAGAAATCGAAAAATCTAAAATTTAAAACATTGAATAATTAAAATATCGCAAAATTGAAGAATCGAGAAATCCACTTCAATTTGAAAAATTGGAAAATCCAAAAATTGAAAAGCTCAAAAGAAAAAAATCTAAAAACCGAGAAATCCAAAAATCGAAACATCGAAAAATTCAAAAACTGAGACTTGGAGAAATCGAAAAATCGGTAGATCGAGAAATTGAGGAGTCGGAAGCCGAAAAGGAAAGTTAAAAATCAATCAAAACAACGAAATATCTGAATTCGATAAATTGAGAAATTAAAAAATTGAATAATCGAAAAATTTTAAAAAAGAAAAACAGGAAAATCGAAAATTAAAATTCAAAAAATTGAAAAATTGAAATATAGAAGAATTGAAAACTCCAGATATCGAAAAACCTAGAATTTTAAAATATGGAATATTAAAACATCGAAAAGTAGAAAAATTGAGAAATCGAAGCATTAAACAGTCGCAGAATTGAAAAATCCATCAATTCAAAAATCGAAAAGTCGAAAAATTGAAATATTGAAAAATCTCATAACTGAAAGAAATATTCAAAAAATTGAGAAATTAAAAAATTGGAAAATTGAGAAATCGAAAATCTAAAAAAGCAAAATCGAAAAATCTTAAAAAATCGAAAAATCGAGAAATCGAAAAATCTAAAATTTAAAACATTGAATAATTAAAATATCGCAAAATTGAAGAATCGAGAAATCCACTTCAATTTGAAAAATTGGAAAATCCAAAAATTGAAAAGCTCAAAAGAAAAAAATCTAAAAACCGAGAAATCCAAAAATCGAAACATCGAAAAATTCAAAAACTGAGACTTGGAGAAATCGAAAAATCGGAGGATCGAGAAACTGAGGAGTCGGAAGCCGAAAAGGAAAGTTAAAAATTGAAAAATTGAGAAATTGAACAATCAAAACAACGAAACATCTGAATTCGATAAATTGAGAAATTAAAAAATTGAACAATCGAAAAATTTTAAAAAAGAAAAACAGGAAAATCGAAAATTAAAATTCAAAAAATCGAAAAATTGAAAAATTGAAATATAAAAGAATTGAAAACTCGAGATATCGAAAAACCTAGAATTTTAAAAAATGGAATATTAAAACATCGAAAAGTAGAAAAATTGAGAAATCGAAGCATTAAACAGTCGCAGAATTGAAAAATCCATCAATTCAAAAATCGAAAAGTCGAAAAATTGAAATATTGAAAAATCTCATAACTGAAAGAAATATTCAAAAAATTGAGAAATTAAAAAATTGGAAAATTGAGAAATCGAAAATCTAAAAAAGCAAAATCGAAAAATCTTAAAAAATCGAAAAATTGAAGAATTGAAGATGTGAAAATTCGAAACTTTAGGAAGTCCAGAAATGGACGAATAAAAAAAAATATTTTACAAATCGGCAAACTGAAAATTTAGAAACGTGAAAATTTGAAAAATTGAAAAATCGAAATATTTAAAAACCGTAAAATTGAAGAGGACAAAAATTGAGAAATTGTATCATCGAAACATCGAAAGATTGAGAAATCGAAAAATAAAAAGATCGAGAAATAGAAAATTTGAAGAATGGAAGAATCGGAAAAGCCCAAAATTGAAATATTGAAAAATTGAGACATTTAAAGTTGAAAAATCGAGAAATCGACAAGCTGAAAAATCCCAATGGCGTATTTATAAATCACAAGATCAGGACTATGCTAGTTTTTAAAATTTAAATAACATTATAAATTGGAAAATGTTGATTTTTTTTTCCAAAAATCTTGACGTCTAAGGCGAAAACTCGACACGGATGCATAAACCGTAAACGGGGGATATACTACAGACTTCAAAGCAGCCTTTAACAACTCGATATTACAAACATGCCTCTTAAGTTCTTAATGCGTTTTTTTCTGTCTTGTAATTATTTGTAATGTTAACGCCGAAAGTTTATGTCATTCTGTTATTTTGTGTTAATATTTTTGTAACACCACGAATTTAAATTTTACTAAATCTTGTAAAACTAAACAATTATACCAGTTTAAAAACCCTTGGAAAGTTTCTGTCAGTCTTCAGATATAATCAAATAAAAATAGGCGTCAAATTCATTTAAATACAATTTTTTCGTATCACATTACAACGCGTTGGCTTCATATTTTTTATGTCAAGTATATTTTCATATTTTGTACATATATGTTTATACACATTATTGTTTACGGAACAATGTTAATTATGGATTTATGGATAACTCCTCGTATAAGAGCAGAGTGAAGGGTGTTTGCCTTTGCTAATGTTTGATGGCGCCATCTGATGTAGAGTAAAATAAACCTAATACGTTGGCTCACTGTAGTGAAAATGCGCGTTGACGAAAAATTTGTCCCACGCCCCCTGGATTCCTTGTCCTAAAGCTCACTATTTAGGCGAAGTAAAATTTGTATTAGGTTGTCCAACTATAATATACTTAAACAATGCTATTGTCGTAAGACTTACGTCACCCGGGGAGCTGTCTGGGGACTCCGTTATCAACAATAACTTGTTCTCTTCAGCTTCTACATCGATAATTCCGCCGCGGCTCTTCTGATAAATGAACAGCTTGCGCATTTGTGCTTGCAGCGTCTGCAACTCTTTGGTAACTTCAAAGTTTTGAGCTTTTTCAAGTTCCCTCGGTGGAAGAGCGTTCTTCAGTTCTTGGACATCACAGTTAATTGGTTCGCGACAAACCGGACACGAAGCTTGAAACCCCTTGGTGCTTTTCTGCCAAGCGGGCAACTTCTCCTGCTCCTCGACGAAGTGTTTTTCCGTCGTGATCAAGTGCATCGCAAGACAATAGGAATGGAAGTAGTGGAAACATTGAGTCTTAGTAAAACTATCACCTTCTGTAAATCCGTACAGACACACAGCGCAATGGCAAGTAGGTAAATTACTTTCAGTGAGATTCTCTCTAATTAACTGGAACAGAATTAAGCAATCAATAAATCTGTCATTAAGTAATTAAGTTCCTAACCTCTATTAACTCATAAATGACAGGCTGCCCTATGAATTCGTTACATTTGTCCTTAATGGCTCTATACAAGTGGTTTAAATTCGTATCGTCGAGCCCCCTCGGGTTCCTCAATTGCACGACCGGCTCACAATCCGGGTATTCTTCAGGTAACTTAACTTCTAAAGTAACACAGACGTATTGCTTGTCGGGGTCGTCTGCGGTCGACGGGAATATCGTAGATTTGACTAGTTCCGGGCAGCCGCTGCAAAAACATTGTCAAAAATGGGCTGAAAATCGCGAAAACTTACTCTTCTTTGTATGAGATGGAAATATCGTCCATCAATATCGCCTCCAAAGCTTCGATTTCCTCTTGTACCCTATTAAAACATCTTTGGCGTAAATATAATCAAAACGGGCTCTTACCTTTCATTTAACGACATTTTTATTAGATTGGATTCAGATTAATCAATATTAGAAGGAAAATTCAATTTTATATGCTTCAGCTGTCACAGCGCTGTCACTTGTCAAACCATAGATTAATAGAGATGCGACATACAGGCTGATTTTGCAAAACCGCCCGTATTGACATTGGAGTGCGCAAGCGCCAAATTTAAATAGTCGATGCCAATAAAAAAACTTGATTCGCTGAAAAAATGTAAAATTTAAGAATCAAAAGATCAAGAAATCGTGGAGTCGAAAAGTCGAACAATTGAGAAACCGAAATAAGTCAAAATCGAAAAATTTTAAAAATAAAAATCGAAAAACTGATGAATGGAAAAATTTAATATCGAAAAGTAAGAAAAGTCTAAAAACTGAAGAAAGGGAAAAATTGAAAAATCGAAAATTCGACTGATCGGTAAATTCAAAAACCTAAAAATCGAAAAGTCGAAAAATGGAAAAATTGAAATATCGAGAAATAGAAACTAAAAAATTGAAAACTCTAAAAATGAAATCGAAAGTCGAAAAACTGAAAGATATGGAAATCCAAAAAGCAAAAAGTAAGAAAATTGAAAATTCGAAATTCTAAAAATGAACAAATCGAAGATTCGAAAATCGGAAAATCGTAAATTTCAAAATTCGAAAACTCAGAACTCGAGAAATCAAAAAACCGAAAAGTAAAAAAAAATCAAAAAATCAAGACACTGAAGAATGGAATGGCAAATTCGAGAAATGGAGAAGTAAAAATTTTAAGAATCTATAAACTAAATCATGTAAAAATTGAAAAGTCGAAAATTCTATCGAAATCAAAAATCGAAAAGCAAAAAAAAAAACAAATGAAAAAGCTGAAGAATGAAAAAAATTGAAAATAAAAAAGTAAAAAAGGAAAAGTATAAAAAGCTGAAGAGAAGGAAAATTGAAAATTCGAAAATTCAAATAATCAAAAATTGAAAATCCGAAATACTGGAAGATTAGAAAATCTAAAAATTGAAAAGTCGAAAGATGAAAAAACTGAAAAATCAAGAAATCAAAATTAAAAAGTTTAAAACTCTACAAACAGAATCGAAAGTCGGAAAACTGAAAATTCGATAAATCAAATATTCGAAAAATTGAAAAATATTAGAAATCAAAAAGCGAAAAGTAAAAATTGAAAATTCGAACTTCGAAAAATCGAAAATTAAAAAGATCGAAAAACAAAAAACTAAAGAATGGAATGAAAAATTCCAGAAATGCAGAAGTAAATATTTGAAGTCTAAAAACTAAATAATGTAAAAATCAAAAAATCGAAAATGCGAGAATTCAAAAATCGAAAACTTAACATCGAAAAGTCGAAACATGGAAAAGTCAAAAATCCGGGAAATCGAAATTAAAAAAATAAAAACTAAAAATGGAATCGAAAGTGGAAAAATTGAAAAAACGAAAATTCGAAAAATCAGTAAGTCGAAAAATTTAAAAATCGGTAAATTGAAAAACTGGAAAGTAAAAAATTGAAAATTCAAACTTCGAAGAGTCGAAATCGGAAAAACGTAAATTCCAAAAATCGAAAAATAGAAAATTTGAAAAATCGAGAATTCGAGAAATCCAAAAATAGAAAAGTTAAAAAATGGAAAAATAAAAAAACTGAAAAATGGAATCAAAAATTCGAGAAATCGAAAAGTAAAAATGTGAAAACCTAAAAACTAAATATTGTAAAAGTTGAAAGTTGAAAAATCAAAAAACGAAAAAATGGAAAACCGGAAAAACTGAGAAACCGAAATAGGCCAAAATAAAAAATTTAAAAAATGATAAATCGAAAACCTGAACAATCAAATCTCGATAAATTGGGAATGAAAAATTAACAAATCGAAAAATTGAAAAACAGAATATCTAAAACCACGAAGTCGAAAAATAGAAAGATTAAGAAATATTGAAGAATTAAAATATCAAAAGATTGAAAAATATCTAAAATTTAAGAAGCCAAAAATTGAAAAATCGAAAAAGTAACACATCGAAAAACCCAAAAGTCAAAAATAAAAAGTCGAAGAATTGCAATATTGAAAAATCCTAAAACTGAAATATCTAAAAACTGAAAAATCGAAAAATCAGAAAGTCTAAAAATTTAGAAATCGGTAAATTGAAAAACTGAAAATTCGAACTTCGAAAAATGAACATATCGAAGGGTCGAAATCGGAAAACGTAAATTCCAAAAATCGAAAAATAAAAAAATTGAAAAATGGAATAAAAAATTCCAGGAAGTCGAAAAATAGAAATATCAAAAGACTGAAAAGTCTAAAATTTAAAAATCCAAAAATTGAAAAATCGAAAAAGTAAAAAGGTAGACACATCGAAAAATCCAGAAATGAAAAATAGAAAAGCCGAAGAATTTGAATATTGAAAAGTCCTAAAACTGAAATAAATTTCAAAAATCGAAATTTAAAATGATTGAAAATTCTAAAATCGAAAATTTGAAAAATCGAGAATTCGAGAAATCCAAAAATAGAAAAGTAAAAAAATGGAAAAATAAAAAAACTGAAAAATGGAATAATAAATTCGAGAAATCGAGAAGTAAAAATGTGAAAATCTAAAAACTAAATATTGTAAAAATCGAAAAATCAAAAATGCGAGAATTCAAAAATCGAAATTCTAAACATCGAAAAGTCGAAAAATGGAAAAGTTAAAAAACCGAGAAATCGAAATTAAAAAAATAAAAACTAAAAATGGAATCGAAAGTGGAAAAATTGAAAAAACGAAAATTCGAAAAATCAGAAAGTCGAAATATTTAAAAATCGGTAAATTGAAAGACTGAAAAGTAAAAAAAATGAAAATTCGAACTTCGAAACTTCGAAGTAGAAATCGGAAAAACGTAAATTCCAAAAATCGAAATTTAAAATGATTGAAAATTTTAAAATCGAAAATTTGAAAAATCGAGAATTCGAGAAATCTAAAAATATAAAAGTAAAAAAATGGAAAAATAAAAAAACTGAAAATGGAATAAAAAATTAGGGAAATCGAGAAGTAAAAATGTGAAAACCTAAAAACTAAATATTGTAAAAGTTAAAAGTTGAAAAATTGGAAAAGCAGAAAAATCAAAAAACTAAAAAATGGAAAACTGGAAAAACTGAGAAACCGAAATAGGCCAAAATAAAAAATTGAAAAAATGATAAATCGAAAACCTGAACAATCAAATCTCGATAAATCGGTAATGAAAAATTGAAAAATTGAAAAACAGTACATCTAAAACCAGGAAGTCGAAAAATAGAAAGATTAAGAAACATCGATCAGTATTAAAAAATCTAAAATTTAAAAATTCAAAAATTGAAAAATCGAAAAAGTAAAAAGGTAGACACATCGAAAAAGCCAGAAGTCAAAAACAGAAAAGCCGAAAAATTGAAATATTGAAAAATCCGAAAACTGAAATATCCAAAAGCTGAAAAATCGAAAAATCAAAAAAGTGAAGTCGAAAAATAGAAACCTTAAAAAATAGAAATAGAAATTAAAATATTGAAATCGAAAGTCGAAAAATTGAACATTTGATAAATCAGAAAGTCAAAAAATTGAAAAATGCGGAAATCCAAAAAGCGAAAAGTAAGAAAATTGAAAATTCGAACTTCTAAAAATAAACAAGTCGAAGATTCGAAAATCGGAAAATCGTAAATTCCTAAATTCGAAAAATCGAGAACTCGAGAAATCAAAAAACCGAAAAGTAAAAAAAACCTAAAAATGAAAAATTAACAAATCGAAAAATTGAAAAACAGAACATCTAAAACCAGGAAGTCGAAAAATAGAACGATTAAGAAATATTGAAAAATTAAAATATCCAAAGATTGAAAAATCTAAAATTTAAAAGGCCAAAAATTGAAAAATCGAAAAAGTAAAAAGGTAGACACATGGAAAAACCCAGAAGTCAAAAATAGAAAAGCCGAAGAATTGAAATATTGAAAAATCCTAAAACTGAAATATCTAAAAACTGAAAAATCGAAAAATCAAAAAAGTGAAGTCGAAAAATAAAAACCTTAAGAAATCGAAAAACTGAAAAATCAAAAACCTGAAGAGTCAAAAAATTAAAGAATTGAAGAACAGGAAAATTGAAACACTCGAAGGTCAAGAAATGGGAAAATCAAAACATCGATTAATTGAAAAATCGAAAAATTGAGAGTTTATAAAAGTCAAATTTGAAAAATAAAAAAATCGAAAATTTGACAAAATGACAATTGAAAATCAAAAGATTAAGAAATCGAAACATTTGAAAAATTCGAAAACTTGAAAAATTGAAATATCGAAGAACTGAAATGAAAAATCGAGAAATCAAAAAATCTAAAACTTTAAAAATTAAAAAATCTAAAATTTAAAAATCGAAAAATTGAAAAATCGAAAATGTAAAAAAATCGACACATCGGAAAATCCAGGAGTCAAAAATCGAAGAGTCGAAAAAACGAAATATTGAAAAATCCCAAAACTGAAATATCGAAAAACTGGAAAATGAAAGAAAAACTAAAAATGGGGAACTAAATCGGGAAATCAAAACTTTGAAAAATCGAAAAATTTAAAACGACAATTGAAAACAGAAAATCTAAAACCGGGAAGTCGAAAAATTGAAAGATTAAGCAATCGAAAAATCGAAAAAGTAAAAAAATTGCCACATCGAAAACTCCAGAAGCTAAAAATCGAAAAGTCGAAGAATCAAAATATTGAAAAATCCCAAAACTGAAATATCGAAAAACTGAGAAATGAAAGAAAAACTGACGAATCGAAAAACTGAAAAATCCGAAAACTGAAATATCCAAAAACTGAGAATCTAAAGAATCTAAAAATTGAGAAATCGAAAAATCAAAAAGTGAAGTCGAAATATCGAAACCTCAAAAAAATCAAAAATTAAAAAATGAAAAACCTGCAAAATCTGAAGATCGAAAAATGTAATAATAAGTAAACTGAAAAATCGCAAAACTGAAACGTCCAAAAATTGAGAAATTAGAATATTGAAAAATTGAGAAATCGAAAAATCGAGAAAGTGAAGTTGAAAAATTGAAACCTGAAAAAATAGAAAAAACTCGAAAAATCAATTAATTGAAAAATCGACAAATAAAGAGTTTACAAAAGTCAAAAATTGAAAAATCGAAATATTTAAAAATCGTAAAATTGAAGAGAAAAACTGAAAACCGAGAAATTGAAAAATTGAGAAATTGTAAAATCCAAAAATTGAAAAATAAATAGAAGTAAACTGAAAAGTCCCCAAACTAAAATTTCGAAAAACTGAGAATTCTTGTAAATCTAGTGTCAATTTGTCGAAAGTAAAACGCGTCGTTAAAAATATTATGACATTTTTTCTAGTTAGAAACAAACACTGTTGCCAACATAAGTCGTCATTTAATTTAAACTATGACGCTTCTCTATGTTCTCTGGTCAAACGTCAACGAGTGGCATGCAGGCCACCCACCGAGTCAACAACCACACACAAAGAAATTAATCAATTTTTGGATTTATTAACAAGCGCACTTCATGTAGCAACGTACTTCAACCCCACATTTTTCAAATTTGATTGTAAAATAACATTTGTGGAATGAATACCTAGCGTGGCGAATTGTGACGCACGCTCCTGAGCCCGTCCACGCAGCGTCCTCTTCCCCAAGGACACACCTGTCTCCTGTCAAATTCATCAAGTGTCATTTGGCGGTATTTTCATCACCGATTTTACCGCAAAGTACCCCTTTTTTTCGAAAATTGCCGACATGTCGAGCGGTGACAATAAAGAACTTCACCCGGGAGCCAACCTTCACTTGATCCCGAGTCCTTTAATAACCAAACGGAATCGGACTCCTTCAACGTAAGTCCGTAAAAGTCACACTTACTGTAAATAATTGATGGTTTTTTTGCAAACTATAGGTGTGAGAGAATTTTGAAAACGCAGGTTTTGTATGGGGAAATTAAGTCCTTTTGTCGGGAGAAGGGACACGGGTTTGTTACCCCCGAGGACGGGTCTGAAGACATTTTCGTCCACATATCAGAGTGAGTTTGGGGGTGGAAGTCCTATAAGGGTTAATTTTGTGTTTTAGCATTGAGGACGAGTATATTCCGCTGCCGGGGGACCGGGTGAAGTACCAACTGTGCCCCATTCCACCCAAGTTCGAGAAACATCAAGCCGTTCATGTGCACATCGTGAATTTGAAGCCGGAGATTCACAGACGGTGGGAGAGCTAAATTATATTCGCATTGTAACGAATTTATTACGCATTTGTGTCGGGTAAATTTTAGTAGGTATTACCCTCTGATTTATTTTAGAAATATGTACACTATCGGATATAGTTCCATTATACCCTATGATATAGAAATATACACATATAATAGTATTTTTTGACGATGACGTGTACTTTTACATCTTATTTGTATGCAGGGCGCAAATAAAACGTGAGCATTTATTTGGGCTTTAATTATACACAAACTACGTGATTAATCGTGCTCGTTTATAAAATTTTACAAAACTACCCTAAATATAAAATTGTCAAATTTAAAAATGGACGGACTTTAAGTCATGATAAGTCGGGTGTGTTGTGCGCAGTCGCACAAAACCCCATTTTGGTGTCATGTTCTTACAATTTGTATAACGTAGGCACTCATTTTATGGCTTACACCTACTTAAACAATTAAAATTAAACATAAAAAACAGCATTGCAATAAAAAAGCACTTACTACGCTAGTACGATAAAATCTCAATTATAGTAAAGTAAACAAGTAAAATTCGCTTGAGTGCGACTTATTAAGCGTACGAAATTTTCTGTTCGTATGCCTTTTGTTGCCACTCGGAGTCGTCCGGGAGGGCGACGTGCCGGGTTTTGCATAACCTGGGTCCGTAGCGCAACATGGCTATGATAACCCCCACGATGAGAAAGAGGGTGAGGCAGGCCGTCGCCGGCCAGTAGACGTGGAACATGTTAGATGTCGCTTTCGCGCTTCTGGAGTTCGCGATACTCCACTTTTTCCGCTGGGGGTGGCACGTACACCACTTGTTTCGGAATGACGATTTCTTTTAATTCGGTGTAGTCTAGAGGGGGTTGCTGGTGGGGGGTGGCGGTCCACAGTGACGCAATCCAACGATTACCTTTTTATATATAAGTATATATATAAAAAAAAAAATGTTTGAGTATGACTAATGATCAAATTTGCTTACCGGTGTGTCGGTCGTTCCAATACCCCGAATACCTCGAGCAACACCCTAACACGATATTCAGAATGAAGATGGACAGTCCGACGATGGTGCAGATGGTCACAGTGATGTAGAACGGGGTGAAATCTCCGTACTCGGTTTTGTGGAAATAGGGGTTGCTTTTGTACGCGTCCCGGTCGTCCAACACCGACATTTCAATTCATTTGGAGGTTGTATGTGGCTGGAAGTTAGATTTGGTTAAATGTGGGTGTGGTTGTTTGTAGGTTACGCATTGTTTGGGCCGTAATTGGTAATAATTGGATTTAATTGGGGTTCGCTGTGGACTTGTTGGCAAAAATGTTGTTCTGTGGTTGGAGTGGGCTTACCTAGGGGTGGTTTACATGGGTTTTGCGCAAAATGGGGGCACTTTTGGTGTTTGCGTTTCTGCACAGGTGGACGCCGAAGTAAACATGGATGATGTCAACGACTCGGCGATTTAATTGGTGGACGGTGAAGAATGTAACAGGTGGGAGGCGGGGTTATGCAAGCTTACGTGATATGTAATGTTTTGTTGGTTGCCTAACGCAAATATTAAAAATATAGAATATATCGAATGTTGAATAATTTGAATTTGAAAAAAATGCAGTCAAGAAAATCGTTAAACATAGGCAACCAAGTGCACGTTTAGTTCTTTTCTGGTGGTTGGTATCGTTCCTCGGGAATTTCTGGGAAATATCTAGTGAGAGGGTTGGTAGAAGTTGGTTTGCTTAGTAGAGGGTAGGGGATGCGGGGACAGTCCACGATGTAAACACTTAAAGTTAATTGTTTTAAGTAACCAGTCACTTGTAATTTTAATCTCAGATAAGAATTCTTTGCTATTTAAAAAACACTTGTTCAGTTGTAGTTTAATATCAGTTATAGAAATTGAAATAAACAACACAGAAACACGTGGCAGAAGTAGGGGGCGCGGTTTCTAGTCGAGCTGGCGGGATTTATCACACCATCTGCACAAAAGGTGCAGACCTAGAATAAAAGTCAGGAGTATCTGAACGCATTTCGCCACAAAAAAAAAACAAACACAATGTAGGGTTTCATTTTTAGACGATCACAGCCAAGGCCATATTTTTTAATTTTTGAATTTTTCGCGGGCTTGCAATTTTTTTCCATTTTTCAATTTAAGGCGGGATGTTTGGGTTATCACAATATCAAAAATTGTCGAAGCTTTCAGTACTCTGCGTTTAAAATGTTCGCAGTTAATTTTAGGTACCTTGGTTGCTGGATGAACTTGAAAAAATCTTTTGAGCTTTTAGTGTTTTATTTTTTAAGAATTTGAAATGTCTTGAGTGCCACAATTTTTTTTTAAATTCGGGAGACTCTTGTTTACTCATGGTGTATTATTTTGGGAGCCCATGGAGATTTTGTCTGTAAATTATTATTTAAGACAATTGTGGGGGACTTTGGTGTTCTGTTTTTGGAAAATTATTTCGTCCTTTTTCATTTTTTTTCGTCCTCTTCGTCCTTTTTCGTCCTTTTTGCTACTTTTCGTCCTTTTTCCTACTTGTCCTTTTTCGTCCTGTTTGGACCTTTTTGGTCCCTTTCCTCCTTCTTCTTGTCCTTTTTCGTCTTTGTCGTCCTTTTTCGTCCTTTTTCCTACTTTTCGTCCTCTTTCGTCTTTTTCATCCTATGTCGTCCTTTTTCGTCCTTTTTCGTCCTTTTCGTCCTTTTTCGTCCTTTCCGTCCTTCTTCATCCTTTCTCCTACTTTATGTCCTTTTTCGTCCTTTTTCGTCCTTTTCGTCCTTTTTCGTCTTTTCTCCTACTTTTCGCCCTTTTTCGTGCTTCTCGTCATTGTTCGTTCTTTTCGCCCTTTTTCGTCCTTTTCGTCCTTCGTCTTTTTCGTCCTTCTCGTTCATGTTCGTCCTTTTCGTCCTTTTTCGTCCTTTCTCCTACTTTATGTCCTTTTTCGTCTTTTGCGTCCTTTTTCATCCTTGTCGTCCTTTTTCGTCCTTCTCGTCCTTGTTCGTCCTTTTCGTCTTTTTCGTCCTTTTTCATCCTTTGTTGTCCTTTTTCGTCCTGTTTCCTACTTTTCGTCCTTTTTCGTCTTTTTCATTCTTTGTCGTCATTTTTCGTTCTTGTTGTCCTTTCTCGTCTTTCTCGTCCTTGTTCGTCTTTTTCGTCTTTTTCGTCCTTTTTCATCTTTTGTCGTCCTTTTTCGTCCTTTTTCTTACTGTTCGTCCTTTTTCGTTCTTTTTCGTCATTTTCATGCTTTGTCGTCCTTTTTCGTTCTTGTCATCCTTTCTCGTTCTTCTCGTCCTTGTTCGTCGTTTTCGTCTTGTTCGTCCTTTTTCATCCCTTTTCATCCTTTCTTGTCCTTTTTCGTCCTTTTTCCTACTTTTCGTCCTTTTTCGTCTTTTTCATCCTTTATCGTCCTTTACGTCCTTTTTCGTTCTTTCTCCTACTTTTCGTCCTTTTTCGTCATTGTTCGTTCTTTTCGCCCGTTTTCGTCCTTCTCGTTCTTATTCGTCCTTCTCATTCTTGTGCGTCCTTCTTCGTCCTTTCTCCTACTTTATGTCCTTTTTCGTCCTTTTCGTCAAATCAATTAAATTAAATCAAATCAATTAAATCAAATCGTTTTTTCCGCCCTTTTTCGTCCTTGCCGTCCTTTTTCGTCGTTCTCGTCCTTGTTCGTCGTTTTCGTCTTTTTCGTCCCTTTTCATCCTGTTTTGTCCTTTTTCCTACTTTTCGTACTTTTCCTACTTTTCGTCCTTTTTCGTCTTTTTCGTCCTTTTTCGTCCTTTGTGGCCCTTTTTGGTCCTTTTCGTCCTTCTCGTCCTTGTTCGTCCTTGTTCGTCCTTTTTCGCCTTTTACGTCCTTTTTCGTCCTTTGTCGTCCTTTTTCGTCCTTTGTCCTACTTTTCGTCCTTTTCGTCCTTTTTCTTGTCCTTTTTCGTCCTTATCGTCCTTTCTCGTCCTTCTCGTCCTTGTTCGTCTTTTTCGTCCATTTCGTCCTTTTTCGTCCTTCTCGTCCTTGTTCGTCCTTTTCGTCCGTTTTCGTTTTTTACGTCCTTTTTTGTCCTTCTCGTCCTTCTTCGTCCTTTATCCTATTTTTCGTCTTTTTTCGTCCTTTTTGGTCTTTTTCGTCCTTTGTCTTGTCCTTAATAATAATAATAATAATACTTTATTTCAACGCCAAAATAGCTTTAAGTACATGGATTTACAAAGAAGGAGGATACATAGAGTAAAAAATACACACACCTATAATTACCTACATAAGAAGAAGAATTCGTAATTTATGTTTAAAAGAGTTAAATGAAGCATAACAAAAGAAATCAATTTCAAAACATTCAAAATTTCATGTAAAGGTGAAGCTTTAACATAATTAGTTGCGGCAAAATCAATATAAAATAGAGACTTAATCCTAGTCAGATGTTGGGGCACTCTAAATTTGATCATGTTAAGTAGATCAGGCACATCAATAAGGTTATTAAGCAGTTTATAAATGAAGCAAATACTAAAATAAGTTTTCCTAGTACAAAGTCCTTTTTCGACCTTGTTCGTCCTTTTCGTCCTTTTTCGTATTTTTCGTTTTTTTCGTCCTTATTCCTACTTTTCGTAACTTTTCCTGCTTTTCGTCCTTTTTCGTTTTTTTTTCGTCCTTTTTCGTCTTTTTCGTCGTTTCTCCTACTTTTCGTCCTCTTTCGTCCTTCTCGTCCTTGTTGGTCCTTTTCGTCCATTTTGGTCCTTCTCGTCCTTGTTCGTCCTTTTCGTCCTTTTCGTCCTTATTCGTCCTTTTCGTCCTTTTTCACACTTCTCGTCCTTTTTCATACTCTTCGTCGTTTTTCGTCTTTTTCGTCCTTATTCCTACTTTTCGTAACTTTTCCTGCTTTTCGTCCTTTTTCGTTTTTTTTTTCGTCGTTTTCGTCCTTTCTCCTACTTTTCGTCCTCTTTCGTCCTTCTCGTCCTTGTTGGTCCTTTTCGTCCATTTTGGTCCTTCTCGTCCTTGTTCGTCCTTTTCGTCCTTTTCGTCCTTCTTCGTCCTTTTCGTCCTTTTTCACACTTCTCGTCCTTTTTTATACTCTTCGTAGTTTTTCGTTTTTTTCGTCCTTTTTCGTCCTTTTCGTCCTTCTTCCTACTTTTCGTCTTTTTCGTCCTTTTCGTCCTTTGTCGTCCTTTCTCCTACTTTTCGTCCTTTTTCGTCCTTCTCGTCCTTGTTCGTCCTTTTCGCCCTTTTTCGTCCTTTTCGTCTTTTTCGTCCTTCTCGTCCTTGTTCGTCCTTTTCGTCCTTCTTTGTCCTTTTTCGTCTTTGTTCGTCCTTTTCCGTCCTTCTTTGTCCTTTTCGTCCTTATTCGTCCTTTTCGTCCTTGTTCGTCCTTTTCGTCCTTTTTCGTTCTTTTTCGTCCTTATTTGTCCTTTTTCGTCTGTTTTTGTCCTTTTCGTCCTCTTTCGTCTTTGTCCTACTTTTCGTTCTTTTTTGTCCTTTTTGGTCCTTTTCGTCCTTTGTCTTGTCCTTTTTCGTCCTTGTCGTCCTTTTTTGTCCTTCTCGTCTTTTTTCGTCCTTCTCGTTCTTGCTCGTCCTTTTTCATCCTTTCTCGTCTTTTACGTCCTTTTTCATCCTGTATTGTCCTTTTTTGTCCTTTTCTTCCTTCTTCGTCCTTTTTTCTACTTGTTGTCCTTTTTCGTCCTGTTTGGACCTTTTTGGTCCTTTTCGTCCTTTTTCTTGTCCTTTTTCGTCCTTGTCGTCCTTTTTCGTCGTTTTCGTCCTTCTCGTCCTTGTTTGTCCTTGCTCATCCTTTTTCGTCCTGTTTCGTCTTTTTCGTCCTTTTCGTCCTTTTCGTCCTTTTTTGTCCTTTCTCCTACTTTTCGTCCTTCTCGTCCTTGTTCGTCCTTTTCGTCCTTTTTGGTCCTTTTCGTCCTTTTTCTTGTACTTTTTCGTCAATAAATGAATCAATCAATACTTTATTGGTGTTAAAAACTACAAATACGGTTTTACACAAGTCAAATACAAAAACATTAATAATGATCAGTCGGTCCTTTAAAAATGTTACATAGTGGATAATGTTTTATAAAAAAAAGGTAATAAATACACGAAAGAAAAAAAATAGTAATAACTATAATAATGTTTTTTGGGCTGTTAATAAAATATTCACTTGTCAAAAACACACACAAAAGAAAAGAAAAACTTGTTCCTAGAATAACATGTGAAATAATTTTATTTTTATTTTGAAATTTTAAATTTAAATACCAGTTTTTTGTATTATCGCTTCTACTTTCAACACAATTAAATGCTATCTAAGGAAGCATCTTCAATGACACAAATACTAACCAAAATGGAACGAAATAGCAGAAAATAAAGAACTAAAAACTCTTGTAACCACCATCACCTTTAATTGCAACGGAAAACAGAGTAATTATGAGGCAACACCACGTCAAGCTAGGTGCAAAGTCATGTATTTTAACGCTATTGAACAAGACATATTCACAAATTTCTAGGCCATTTTGTA